TTATGTGATATTTAAAGATAGCCGTGACTTAAGACACCATAAATGAAGCCTATTCAAATCAAATTGAAGTTTTCTTGCATAAGCTGCATCCTTAACAATTGCAAAAAACCTTCAAATCATCGGCATAAAGCAAATAATTCGAAAAGGAAAAACAATTGCCCATGTCGTTTATAAAAACAACGAATAAGAGAGGGCCTAAAATGCTCCCCTGTGGAACACCAGAAGAGGCGACGAAATAGTCCGAAACTACGCCATCAATCGAAACTACACAGCGCCGATTAGACAAGTATGAGGTGATCCATTTGAGAAGAGAAGAATGCAAGCCAAGGCAAGCTAACTTATTTAACAGAATCTTGTGAGATACTCTGTCGAACGCCTTAGAAAAGTCAGTATATATGCATTCAACTAGCGATCCGTCCGAAAACGATGACATGCAAAAATCACTAAATACCATTAAATTGGAGACTGTCGAGCGCCCGGATACAAATCCCTGCTGGTTTGGGCTGATTAATGACTTTATCGCGAAATAAATTTTGTCTTTGACGACACTTTCAAAAAGTTTGGAAAAGATTGATAGTTTCGAAATTGGCCTGTAATTCCGTGCATTATTTTTACTACCATTTTTGAAAAGAGGCGTAATTGTTGTTATCTTCCAACGATCATCCGGCATCCCTTTATTAAAAGAGCCGACAGACCGTCAGCGTCTGAATGGGAAGAAGACTTGAGGGAAAGTATTGCGTTCATAACTTCGTCAGAAGAGATATGCAAGGTCCCCAGATTAACCGAAGAAAATATTTCAGATGAGAAATCATGGAAACTCCCATCGTCAACTACATAATTTGACATGAAAAACTCCGCGAACAAATTAACCGCCTCAACAGGAGTGTTAGCGTAGGTTGTATAGCAACTGTGAGTATTCAAGTTCATAAGTAACTCATCCCATTGAATTTCCGAAAGGGATTTGTTTAAACTTGGAAAATCACAAGACGTATAATTGAAAGCAATTCCCTCATTAGACATAATGGTTGAAAACACATAATATTTAAGCTCATTTTCTAAAGGCACATGGTGAATACTAGCATCAGAAATCGGCGAAATGCATTTTGATATAGAAGAATAAATGTTGTCACTAACGTATATAAGGTCTAACAATCTATTTAAATCATTAAAAAAACAGTTAATTTGTTTTAGATTAACACTTAGGAAACTATCTATAAAGTAAGATTCTAGATTTGTGGCAATGTTATTAGGTGTAAGACTAGAGCTGGTAGAGTTACTGCACCATTTTATATTGCACAGGTTAAAATCGTCCAGAACACAAAGATGGTTGTCATTTAGGTCCAGAGATAGCGAGCAACCTGTGTCAGTCATTGGATTTACCTGTGCTTCAAGTTCGCTCGGCCTTTCGAGTATCTAAACAGAGCAACTCCACTGCTTCGGTGATTGTCAAGTTAGCATCTTCTGCTGATCGATCCACCCTTTTCAAATCAGTGGCTCGCTTTTGCAAAGAAAAAATGCGGCCGCTATTGCTCCGTGATGTTGGCCTGAGCTCAGATGGGAAAATATACATACATGAGTGTCTTACAAAAAACAACCGCGAGCTAATGCGCTTCGCAAAGCAGCTACGAAGAGATCAAAAACTTGTAGCTGCCTTTTCAGTTCGTGGGTATGTGTATGTACGCGTTCGCCCTAAGTGTAAAGCTGTGAAGGTACTCAGTATAGAGAGCATCAAAAGTGTTGTTGCTGCAGGCACCTGATAACGTATGTTTAAGTATAGCTGTTATGTTTATCATTTGTTTATGTTGTACCTGCTCTTGTTGCTTCTTTTATTATACCTCTCTTCTCTGCTGTTTTCCTCTTAATTTCCCTGCATATTATCTTAAATTTATTTATAATTTCTACTGCTCTCTTAAATTTCATAGTATTTTCTTAACTACCCGCCTTTCACTATCATGCCCTTTCTTTGTTATTGCCTTGCACTTATGCAAATATGTATACATGCTTCGTTTGCTTGTTTTTGGTTGTTTCTGTTCTAGCCCGGATTTGCGATTGTAGGTCTGCTCGATAAGTCAGGCCCTTGCGTTAATGAAAATA